AACGCTGAAGAGAGATTCAATTCGAAAGTATTCATAACCATACTTACAATGGAACCAATATATTTCGTTGCATTGACGCACTTTCTCTGCTCTTTAGTCATAAATAGGAGCATCTTGAAGGTATTTCCCTATTCCATTTTCGTAATTTTTTTTCCCTTTCAGCTTAACGTCTCTAAGAACACTCGCAAAATACATTGCTCTAAAAACACTTCTTTGACATTAACAAAGGCTTCTTCGTGCAACAGAAATCACTTAATCGTTTTAGAAAGGGCAGTTCTTGGTTTCTTCCCCCAAAAGCGGAAAACGTAAGTTGAGTTAATCTTCCGACATCATTAATAAGTTCTTTGAAGGAAATCACCGGCCTTTTGCTCTCAAACCTTAAGTTGCGGTCTCGGATAATAATGGATAACAGGCAAAACGATCACAAAATAAAAGTAACAAATCTTTCTCTTTTCTAATTTTAGTACAATGAACATGACTATAACAGTCGAAATTATTGATCAATTATTCTTTCCTAAATTCAAAACAATTTCCATATTCATAGAATGATGTTGATGGAATAAGAATGGTTTGCTTCTGTTGCAAACATTTATCTTAGATTTTGTAGAGCCTCACTTGTTTTGGTAATATATACTAAGTCAACACTCTGAAGTAGACATAAGCAACTTATCTGTGTGTCTAGATAAGCAACCAGAAACGTACTAATGGTGTAAATGACCCTTTTATTAAGAACTCTAATAAGCTGAACAGAAGACACTCCTGGTGCTTACACAGCCGTCGTTTGTAGTTGAAAATCAAAAATAAGAAAATCAAATTTGAACTAAATTTAAGTTGAAATTTGTCAAAGACTATGCAATGACATTTTAATTGGCTCTAATCAACACCGGGAAGACAGCACAATCTGCAAGAATAAAGGTACGCCGTAAACAGGAAAGATTATCGTAGACGAAACGACCAGTAACGTGAACTTCAGCAGGCGGAACATACTTTGACTAAAACAATCTCAAACCTTCACTTAAATACACCTGAGCTAAATTAGCAGTCTGGAAGGAAAAAGGAGAGAGAAAACTGACAGTAAAGATTCGTAACATAAAATACGTGGTTAATTAACATAAAAACCTTTCAATTGGTATGAAATCTAACTATCTTAAATGTTAACTCGGATTCCTCGAAGACAGTCGGGTGACTTACATCTTTTTATAATTGTCCATAGAAGTAACTATGAACACAGGGGAAAGTTATTTAAACCTTACTAGCTTTTCAGTCTTACAATTTACATAATCTGTGTATTAACACAAGAGTCTCCAGCATTTTCAGGATTAACAAAAACGAAAGACCAAGTAAAATTTGATAACTATAAAGCGAGATTACTAGTTTTAGCTCAAAATCTCAACTCACTCGTGCGAATATGGCTATCAAGGCTACGCTGTATTTACGTAAATCCAGAGGAGGAGAGAAAATAGTACTAAAACGATCAGCGAATGCTACCAAAAGCTCTCTTAAACTCAAGAACTTTGTACTTCTACACTTTAACTAATTTGCATCCTGGTGGGAGCCGAAGAAAGTAGCTGCGACAGTAAAGGCTGCGATAGTAACGTGGCTGGTTAATAAATATAAAACCCTATAGTTTAACCTTCCTTGTTAATCCTGCAAATACTTGTTTCTTATTTTGCTTTGCCCATTATCTAACTGTATGAAAAATACATTTTGCATGTCAAAACATGAGTTTAAATAGCTCTCAAAATAAGGATTGGAGATGTTAAGGCAACAAGAAGCAGCTTCATATTAATAATTTTTCAAGACTGATTTCGAAGTCTTAAATACAGAATCTTCTCCTTCAGCTGCAGAACTGAAAATTAAGAAAGAAAAGCGTAGGCTCTGGCGATAACAATGAGAGGAGGAAATGTGTTGGTTTCAGACAAAGTTTAATAAGGGAAATTAACTCATTAATTTCGCTATATATAAGAAATGGAATTTTCCAAGTCTGGTTTCTCCTATCGCAATTGATGAGCATTTGCCTTCCTCAGCTTTGACTGAAACAAACATACTTTGTTTTTTCCAAATAAGTATTACAACCAAATTCAGGGAAGCCTTCTCTGCTCTTAACCTTGCTGACATCTATATGCATTACTATGAATCCAAATTATTTAAGATTTTAAACTTCCCTGCGTGATTTCCCTGCTTTTACGATATCTTTACGATATCTGTTTGACTACAATAAAGATGATTTAAATAAAATTCTTGCACTAAATTCCATTGATCTTGCTATTCAGTTCTCTTTTGAAATTGTGTCATCTAATTCCCTTCAGTTTATCGATATTTTGATTACGCGCAATATGTCCAACTTCGGTACTACTGTATAACTATTGCATATCGTAAACCTTAATCTGCGAACAATGGTTTTAAATATGCGAACAATGGCTTCTGAATTTTAATTGAGATGAATATAGTAATTCTTGAATTGATTTCTAAATTCTGAGCAGTACCGTTAATATGCCTTTTCTGAAACTTTACAAGTCTTCATTAATGTTACTACACTAGAAGTAGAATAAAATTAACAGTTTTGATATTTTATTAGTTAAAAACCCCCACTACTTCTTCATCAAGATTTTTCAATTCTTCTGATCATCTTTGAATGAGGTTTGCCAGTATGAAGAAATTTAAAAAGAGATTTATTATTGGAGAAGAAAAATTCCTCTTGTTACCTATTTACAACAGATTACTCTAATTCTTAAGCTTTGAAATATAATAATAACTACTTTTAAACTACTTTTATCATGCTTACAAGTTATTTTACTGATCTCTTTCTTTCTAATTTGAAGTGTTAATACCTTAAGTTACTTCTCCAAGGAAGGACATTTATCCATTTAGAGAAATGTTTCACTTTCTACAGCGGATTCGTTTCTTTCATTCTGCAGAAGATTAACTCCTGCAAAAGGGCTATCATATATGTTGACTTTCCTGTTCTCAACTCTCTCTCTCTGTTCATTTATGTGTAGACGTTTTACATTTCTTTTCGCTCATGTGTATAATATGAGACTTACTGTATAATACGTAGATAACTCACCATTTTTTTAGATGGGGCTGACAATATGCGCTACAAAACAATTACTTGTTAGATGTATAATTCAAAACGTGAAAGCATTTACCGCACTGTGATTTTTTATGATTTTAAAATGAAGCTAAATCACAAAGAATGCCTTCAACGCCTACAATTTGTACATGGAAATAAAGTTCTATCTTTCTTCACTGTACTCAGATGGTTTACAGAATTTCATCAAAATTTTGTGGTGGATGAAGAACATATAAGATTGTTTAATCAGCTATAGTAATATGAAACGAGTCGTAAAGTAAGCTTTTAGTTTTGGAATTCCTTACTCAACATTTCTTTTGCAGTACCAATATGTTCATTAATATTGGTCGATTCTTTTCACTGGTAGCCTTCTTCTTTTACAATCTTTGTTTCTTCCTCTGTCATTGCTATTGCTGTATTTGTCCGTAACAATAAGTAGTCAAATAAAAATGATTGTTCTATTGAGTTTAAATACAAAAATTTCAATCAATGATAATCGCTGTACCTATCAGATGATGCAGAAGAGAACTTTAAATCTGTAGTTTTACATAAAAGTTTCATGAACTAGTTGTCTTTGGGTCCCCCATAGATTAACAGAACACTAAAAACCGATCCTAAAATTACTTAATGATGGTAGACACCACATTATTTCTAAAATTATAAAACTGCCGAAGAAAAGTACATACCGTTTTTTGATGTTCCAACACATCAAGAAAGTAAAGTATGGATCTTTGAAGATGAGCCCTTAACCTAAAATGGTAAAAAGACAACAAGCAATAAGAAAGGTTATGTATGCTGTTTTTCTCCCGAATTACAATACTGATCAAAGCGCCATGAAAAGGGACACTGAGTGACACCACTATTAACAATCAGTGACACTACTAATTGTTTTCCAGAAATTCTTCAAAAAATGAATTCATGCCTGACAAAGCTAATGCATCTTCTTATTTAGCAAGAGTGACGATCAGATTTCCTGAACTAAAACGCATCAACATCCAAACTATTCTTTCATCTTTAAGCCTGATATTTCGCTATTTTTAAATCTAAATCAAGATATATGTGGTTCATATCAAAGATGAGATTTATGAAGATATAAAAGCATTTTTAATCAGTTCCAGAAAATGGACAGTTTGAAATATTTGATCTTTAGAAAATTCGTCTACAAAAGTGCATTGATGTTGGCAAAAGCTACCTTAAAACTCCTAGGATTTGGTAAATCTAACTTGTACCATTGAAATGTATTTCAGAACTTTTGGAATGACCCGCTTATGTAATATAGGTTTGCGATTATTTACACATATATTTATTCAAGGCAAAAATATAACTTTTTCAACTATGTTACTATTATAATATTAATGTTAAAAATCCCTAGCTTATTATAAATTTTATAAACATATTTTACAGGAGTTCGTTAAATACACGTGTTTTATACCTAATTATGTCAACACATAACAGATTTCTTCGAGAGATTGCTTGACTATTACAAACCGGGACGCATGAAAGAGCCTGCGTTAGACGCCCACGGAAATTATTATTAAATTTTTGCTTTCTGAAATTAATAATTAAAGCATATATCACAAATGCACTTCGTGCCCCAGGTCTCGAACGAATATAACTGAGATCAATTTTCTTCAGCATCTGTTCTCTAAACTTGATATAAAACAAAGAAAGAGACTGGTGAGGTGAACTTAAGATCATCTTCTCCCTGAAGGTGGAACTCACCTACTTTCCTTCCAACAGCCCTGCTTCCTGATCAAACCAACTTTCTCACATCAAAGGCCCAGCGGTCAAATTAGAAAGGAAAAGCGATCAAGGAAAAAATTAAATCTATAGACCAGAAATTAATGAGTGGTAAATGATGAGGTCATGAGGATACCATATTCTACCGTTCATGCTCGTGACTTCTATTGAATACCGATTGGTGTTTGTACATATATATAAGGCCGTTGCGGTGCTAGAGAGCATCACAAATACAACAGTCGCAGACAAGCAGACATCTTTGGATCTTGTAGACAAGTCTTTCCTTTAGCTTCCTATCTTAAATAATTTCAAATAAGATGTATTTCGTTCAGGTAAGAATCATTTTCTACAACTCAGAATTAAATTGTATCTCCTTTACATACGGGTAATTCTTTAAGATAATGTCAAATCTCATATATTTTCTTCTTGCCCAAATATTGTTCCTACCCAGCTCCTACATCTTCGTAACACACGGAAATAGCCTTTTGCATTGAATTATTATCATCTTCTTTTTCTGTTTGAAATTGATATTCAGTCTACTTAGTCTGTATACTCGACGCGTATTCGAGAGGTCCAGGGTTCGAGTCCCGGTGAGGGCACTGCACATCTTTCAAGTCTCCTGCTTCGAAATAACTTAATGATTCTGCAAATGGCGCTCGAAAAGGTACCCGAACTCTGGACATCTCGAAAACGCGTGGATATGCTTCCAACTACACTATGAAGGCATGCGGAGGAGGGATGCTTTTGATGAACCCGAAATTTTCCTTCATAAATTTGTCAGAGTATTTAAATTTGATATTAAGAAATACAGCGTTTAAGTATTATTCAGCCCTTTAATTTTTTCCTAATCATTTCTTGTTGCTGAGTGCTTCCATCATGGTATTATTCTTACTAATTGCTGAACTTTAAAAAAATAACATCCCAGATGAATAAAAATTAGATGTTTAAAATTATTTTTTTATTAAATTCAGCTAGTCAATCTTTTTCTAACAACTAGTTCATCATCTTAAATAAAGATTGGTTTTCTAGATTTATTGTCATATTTATTTAAATTTATTATTCAGTTCCATATTTTTTTGAAAACTTACACTTGCAAATGAGCAGAGAGGGTAATAATTAACAGTTATTAGCTTAGTTTCTAAACAAAAATTTATTGATTCATCACGTTTCTAAACAAAATTTCTGTCCGTGTAGAAAATTTCTTTGCTGCGTGAGGATATATTCAACCTTCAGACGAATATATTATATACTATTTCGCGTTTAATTTCATTACCTTTCGCAAAAACTTCGCTTTTCTATAAATGAAGGAATTCTACCATCCTATGAGTCAATCGATCAGAGTCATTTTGCTAACCGTTTTTAGTCTGTGTTACATTCTGCTAATTTTCATTATATGTCCAATTTTCTCCCTAATTTTATTAATATTAGTCGAAATGTGTTAGTGTTCAGTGATAATGAAGTTATTTAATCTTTAAAAGACTACTAGTCAATTTGTGTATACTTAAAATGTATCAATTAAGATTTTTGATAATAATGCAATTACCTCTATTGTTAAACCGAAAAAAAAATTTTTTAGATCTCTCATTTAAAATCAAGAACACATAATAATTCATCTTAGAACGGAAGATACGTCGAAGGCCAAAAATTAGCCTCTTTGCGACAAACTGCTAATTTAGCTGAGAGCTCAAAATAAATAAATTTATTAATTAAAATTAAAAATTAAATCTTTACAGAAACAAAAAATTTGTTCCAAGCAATGTGAGAGTGTTATTTTATTGTAGGTTACTGTGAGCATATTATAAACATAGTTTTTATCTTTTTTAGTGAGAAAGTAAAATATTAATACGATTCACTTTATTCTGATGTTCAATGATATGCATTGAACGAATACCCGGGCAGTATTTTGATGGATACCCGCACTCTTATTTGAAGCCTGGGATATTTTAAGCCATCAGACCTTGCAGATATAGCAGTATTAATTAAGAAAAACGCATTTGCCAATATTCATAATAATAACAGTTTTGCTTAGCTACGTTTTGGAAACGTACTTTCAAGATTTATCTCTTAAAATAGCACAAATGAATACAAATAATGTTTAATCTGAGAATTCTAATTAGAGAAAGTTTGACTTTTTCAAGATTTTTGTACTTTACTCCTTACTTTTAATTAACATAAAGATAGTGTCTTAAATTTTATAGTTAAGATTTTAATTTTTAAAGCAAAATTATGAATGATTATTATTACCAAATCATCGAGATTTTTACACCGTTTTCAGCAACTATTTCATTTCATTTCATTTTTCATTACTTTGCTCTTGCCAAACATTAAAATTTCACTGAAAAATATAAATGTTTAAAATTAATTTTTTGAAGCTCTTAAATGCTTCCTCAAATTTATGCTTTGAGAAAGTATGAGAAAATATGTCTACAACTATGGACACTTAAATTAATATTTTTTAAGTATAAACTCAAGAACAAAATGAACAACAGGATGAATTCTTGTATATTAATAGAACTGAACTTTCGCTAAGTGACACTGCTTTCCAGCGTACAATTTTTAAATTCCTGCAGCCTCAAGCTAAAAGCCTAATACACTTTCATTAAGCGACATTCCTAGATAATGGAAAAAATCCTTGCCCCGCCATCTTCTGATAACGGAAGGTTAAATTGCCATACTACGTTCGTTTCTTCAAAATCGTACTCCGTGGTTTTGTGAAGTGAAAGTAATACTTCGTATATACTGATTCTGGTCAGATTTTCATAATGTTATGCAGGGATGATCAACCTGGTCCCTACCGAGCACTAGTTGGCAATTTAAGCTTTAATTGTAGACGGTAGACACTTTTGTCCATCCGATGATGAAAGTCCGTTCTCCTATCCCAAACTGTCTCTTGTTTCCATATATTTATAAGGATTTGGCCATTTCTCTTAGGTGTTGTTCTGTAACGATAGCACACATAATGGGATTATCACATCTTAACGTGTGACCAGGAGAAATTTTGGCTCGAAAGGTATATCTCCTTTTCCTTGCCATTGAAAGTTTCCTAGCCAAAGCAGTTTCGCTGGAACCGATGTCCCGGCTAGCTACGCGGGACATAAATTTTCTGTCTCTTATGAATATAAGCAAACTATAAATACATGGATAAATGTAGTTATATATATTTTTACTAAGCCTCCACTCAAAAAATTACTTTGCATTTACGCTAAACTAAGTTATTGCGAAACCGGTGGAAGGTTAAGGAAATTTTAATACCTACAGAGTGGATGGTAGGTATAAAAATGTTGATTAATCCTGATTTAATGACTCTTGTTATCTATTTTGAAGTTTCCTAGCACCCATTCGAGAGCTTGTTAACGACTGAGTAAGTATGAGTTTTTTAAAAATTTCGTAAAGTGTCTTGAAAGTTCATAATGCATACTGCTGAATGAAAACTGTGTTCATAATGCTGTCTTAAGTATTTAAGTAAGAAGCAATTACTTCAAGGAAAAAATTTTCTTTTTCTTAACTAAGCAATTTTCACACGAAGCTTTCTCTTAATTATACTACTGCACCGTTATAATTCTGTAAATACTTTCTGAAATACTCTCCTTTGTAATAATGTATCTTTGCAATAAACAAAAAAGTACCGAAATCAAAATTATTTAGTACCTCTCATGGCATATGTAGTCATAACTAGCTTATTTAAATATCAAATAATATTCAGTTATTGTTACTTACTTACTGTAATAAAAATCTCCTCTCCTTGCACACACAAAACTTTTTTACTATGGCTAATTTATTATGCGTAGCTTCAAATGCGTAATAACACTACTTCTGATAAAATAGAGTTGTACCAGAGGTATCATTGAAGAGAGAAGACCAAACTGCAATGATCGAATAGCATAATTCACTGAAATATGATAAACTGATTTTAAAACCAGAGAACGACTTGCTTGCCTTTTAAATATTGTTACGAATTTTGCACGGCTATAAGCTTAGTGCAATTATATGTGAAATTGTTGTATATTTCTGTATAATCTAGAAAATCTTGAAAAATATTGAGTCTACTCTTGAAAAATCTAGAGACAGATGCAATGCCGGAAAAGTAAGAATACAGGGGCATATTCATATAACATTGAGTATTGTCGAGATATCGCCAAGCTGACAACGGTTTTGGCGACTTATTTTGACACCGAATTCCAAATTTTATCACCGACCTTATTTGTTACCGAACAACTGAAAATCATCATTCGATACAGTGATTAACATGAACATGATGAACAAAACAATTTTATGTCGTATTTATTCACTCGGATATTCGTGTAAACGGTGCTTTATTTACTGAACAGGTCACATTAGCAATTGTGCTTGTAACTGGATACGCCAGTGCCGTTGGGTATGGCCCAGGATCCGGAAGTGGATCAGCCGGATCTTATGGTGGAAGTGCTGGAACATCTGCTGGAGGTTACGGTGCTGGTGCAGGTTCCGGAGGAGCTGGAGGCTACAGTGTAGGTGCATCCGCTGGAGGATATAGTGGAAGCTCTGGAAGTTCAAGCGGTTTTGGAGGTTCTTCTGTCTCATACGGTGGTGGAGCATCTTCTTTTGGCGGAGCTGCTGCAGGCATTCAAAACGTGAGTTTGATTTCTTAAAATTCTGCTGAAACGTTTCTTAAGATTATGCCTGAAATACTGTAAATTTCCCTCTCTTACATTAATAAGTCAGTTAGGTAATATTGTTTTCAATATGCTTTTAAAAATCAGAGTAAATGGAACTTTTAGCGAGACAATTACATAGAACAATTTATATATTTATATAGCCTATCCATTGCCTGCGCAAATTTATAAATAGGTGCATAGATACATTTATAAACATAACATTTTTTAATTTAAGGTTGATGGATAAGATCTACAAATTTGTTATTCAAAGCATAGTAGTACGCAATATTTCAAATATAAATTGTAGACAAAAAACTTTTCTTATTGAAAAGAGATACCAACTTATATCAGATTGATCTCAAAATCAATAAATGAGAGTTTAATTCAAATTCTAGGCCAATTTAAGACTATGTTTTAGTTCATTTTAAGTAAGTAAAAGGTTTTGCCAGCTCATTTTGTACATGAACTTTACTTTTCCATGAGATATTCTGAAATAAAAACGGTATCAGTAGTGTTGCATTCATAAAAGCACTACTTTAATGTTTCCAGATAACTCACAGTAGAACTACTAGTTTTCCAAAAGTAATTAATTATCCTTAAAATGAGAGTTTAATACATTGTGCTTTTTTATGAAAAGGAACACTTTCTTGCACTATGAGTACTTGCTTTTTAATGTATTGAAAGTCAGTACTTCAATAATAACATATATAAAATACAATTGAAAAGGTGAAGTTTCATAATATCAATATAGATCAAATATGCCATCTGCTGAATGCAAAATTAATGACAACTGAATGTTAGAAAGAAATTATCGTTAAGAAAATCCCTTGCAATCTGTTCGATATTTCAAATGTGGTTATTTGCTAAATACACACATTAAAAGCCATGAATGGTAAAATAAACTGCAATGGAAATTCATGGTTCTGGTGCTGAACGTTCCTCTTTGCATATCACTTCAGTATGAGCACTTCAAAGATATAACATAATAATAAGCAAATAAATTTAATGGCAAATAAACGTTAATGTTCTCGTATACAATTAAAAACATTGTAAGTAACCGAATGTAAAAGCGCCAAAATATATGGAGGCAGTCTTCACACCATAAATAAGTCGAACGCCGCCATTTTTGTCAATTGAAAATGGCGATATTTTTCCAATATTTTTAATAATGTGAGACTCCAATATTTTTAATAATGTGAGAATTACTTAAATATAATTTTTTAATTCTATTGAAATGTTTCAATCATTGCGTTAGGAGAACTAAATAAATTTTTAAGTAATTTACTTAACGTGCTATTCATTACTTAAATACAATTAAAACTTTTTTAGCACTTCTGACTTTGTTTTTAAAGTTTCTTTTCTCTCACTGGCGAGCACTTAATCGACTTAGCCACTAACTAAGGACGGAAGTGGAGGCCACTTTATCGTGGAAGCACCTAATAGGTAGGCCAACATTACCTCCTAAGAAGAGACCAACAATTACAGCCATACATTCTCCGGGAATCGAATAGGGCCCCTTCGGTATCGCAGTAGGCCTCCCTAGCCACCTTACCGTTTGGGGGGCATTTTACTTACTATCAAAAATAAAATTACTCATCTTCAATCAGGTCTATATTCGTGAACATAAGCAAATGTATTAATCAGTGAAAAAGCATGTATAAGGTAAATATATGTGTTCTCTAAATGACGACGTGCCAGATAAACTATACAGAATTTCTTACCTTATAATAAAAATATTTTACTTCTCACTTCGTGATAGTAGATAAGAAAAATTTAACTACATTTCAGTTCAACGGCAGATTCTGAATTTTGAATAAAGACAATCATTATTTCAGATTCTAAGAATGACTTCATTTTTCGGGGAAGGGGCTGGTTTTTTGAAGTCAAGTAATAAACTTATTAGTAATTTTTACAAAATGCATTACTTATATTAATAAATTTTCTAAGGTACCTCAACCATACAACTTCGATTATCAAGCACAAGATGAGCAAGGCAATACCCATTACCGCAATGAACAAGGTGACCAGAACGGCAATGTTCAAGGATCTTATGGATATACTGATGTACAAGGTTTATATCGAGTTGTCGAATATGTTGCCGACGCTAATGGATTCCGTGCTAACATTCGAACCAACGAGCCAGGAACCGACAGTAGGGAAAGTCCCGCTGATGTGGTTCTCGTTGCTGAACCTGCACCTGCAGGAATCCAAGAAAGATACACCAGCTTTGGAGGCCGCGGACAGGCTGCAGCTAAACCATCCGGTGAGACAAACTGCTTACTGCAGTTTTAGATTAGTTGTTGAAATATATAATTATACAGCTAGCATTTAAAATTAAGCATCTGTTTATTGCTATTTAAGAGCAATATTAATTGTAAATAGTAATGTTAAAGTGATTGAGTGTAATTTATTAATAAACCATGATGTCATCGGCACTACGCCAAAGCTACGAACCTGAGGGTTTTTACTTTCACCCAGCCCATTGACTAGGTCATTTTTGGGTTGTTTTTACATAACGTGGAAATGCAAGTTGTATAAACTAAAATAAGAGTCAAAACTTGATTTTTTTTTAAACGTCAAACATGCAAAAAGTCTTCCTCGAAGCAGTACTTTGACTATTTCGTGATTGTAGTGTAATGCTGAAGACATGCAGAAGCATAAATCTCTTCCCTTAGGTATAATAAATAATAAATCTAAAATCCTATAAATCGCTTCCCTCAGATAGCCCTGTGTGCGTTGCCATATGCACATAACCGTCATTGTTGGCAAGCCATGGAATCAGAACTAGATGATAATGTCTCTTTATTTAAAACATTTCAGAGTTTGAAAGTGTTTTAAATATTTCATAATTATTTTCTTCTAAAAAAATTGTTTTATACTTGAGACAATTGGGCGATTCGGTTAGAAATCTCAATACTTGATCAATCGTTTTTTCGCAACTAAGGTACTCATATGATTAAAAGAAAAATTTGAATTAATGTTTAGTTAATAAGTGTATATCTACTTAATGAGCATTGTGGATCAGAACAGTACAAATTAAACTGATAAAAATCGTTAATTAGCTGTAGGGGATTTTAGATGAATGATCTTGATTCTAAGCTAAATTCTAAGAATTCATCGTTATTCGGAGACAAAAAAGGGGATTTAGTAAAGTGAATACATATTTTATTCAAACATATCATGCTAACATGAGCATATCCTTTTTCTAAATGTAATTTTTATCATATTTGAATTCATAAATTAGAAATACAAATTAAATTTTTAATTTATTAAAAAATTTAATTAAATTGAATAATTTCTGTTTCGTCAAAAAAATTTTAATCCCAATTTTTTGACGAAAACACCAAATTTATTCAATTTTTGTAATTTTTCCCTTATTTTGTGACATAAAGAAAGGCTAATTGCTATTTATTTAAACTTAGATATTTTTCTTTAATTGCAGCTAGAAATTCTTGATACGATATTCTTGAGAATGAATGATAATAATAATAATAATAGCAATAAATACATACAAATTATGAAGTGTACTTTGTAAATTAAGTAACTTTACATATTTTAAGATAAATTTTCTCGAAGAATTCATTCAAATAACAAAATGCATTTTAGTATATATCGTTTGTAATACAGTTTAGAAATTTTTTATTCTTGATGAATTAACTTACAATATATAAAATTTTATGTTCATTAAACTAGTTAATTTATTCCATTGGCTTTATTAAAATTCCTGCTTTCATCAATATCCAATAGAATGGAAAAATTAGTTGAAGTGTATAAGGGCCTCTGAGAGAGAGATTTTGGTAGCGTTTGATAATCGTTATTTTTTTAGGACTCTCGGTATAAATAATTTTATATCAAAGCTAAAGGAAACGGAAAAGGAATTTAGAATTATCGTTAAACTTAAGTAACCATTCTTTGTTTTATCTGAAGTTATTTTTGTTCTTTTTTCAGGTGTTGGAGGATATTCTGGAGGACAAGCGGGTAGTGGTGTTGCCGCTGGAGGCTACTCTGCTGGAAGCGCTGGTTCATCCTCTGGTTTTCCAACTGGCCAACGCCTTGGTGGAGGAGCAAGACCTTCAGGCAAAAGTGGATATTAGGGAAAGAGCTTATCTGTTGAAATAGCTTCAATGTTATGTAACTGAAAGGATATTTTGCTACGGCCGATCTTGTGAAAATGGTTGTTAAGGGCATTAAACACGAAAATATAAAGAGGCGAAAATTTTGAAAGCACTGCTATTCCGGATAAAAAGGAGAAAGTCTAAAAAGGTTTACACGAAAATTTAAAGTTTCATTCATAGAAATAAATAAATAAACAAATAAGTAATATTAGAAAGAACAGCAGTGCTTTATCCTTTAATAAGCAGCTTTATTTTGCAATGCAGCTTTATGAAGGTTGGAGATGCAGCTAGGATTTTCAAAAGATTATGTTTGGAAATTCCTTAAAAGGTTTGGATAAGGTGCTATATATGTTTCAGGCATGTTTCTATTTATTTATGTATTTTTAAGCATAAACGGGTAATGAGTGAAGCTTACGACATCATAAGACTAGATCGAGACTTAGGCACAGCAGTAATACGACAGAGAATGCACTGCTTTTTGGCAATGCATTTATGTCATTTTTTCCAGAAGGTCTTTGTGATGACCTTTTCTACTCTTACACATGTGGTCTGTTCATGAAACAACTTGGTCTAACAAGCGTCACAGTGCCAATAAATTTAAAAAAAAAAAAAAAAAAGCTTTGGAGAACCAAGTCTATCATGACAATTATTTTTCTTGGTCTTTAAGGATTCGTGTACTATATGCTAATGTTTAATTGTTACGCTATGTGTCTTATAAGTTTTGTTTTATTGAGCATCTGTGTACAGTGGTTTTGTCTTAATAAAATAGTTTTATGATTTATTCTGTATTCTTTTAATTAGTAACATTGCCTCTATTTAAATTTCTAAAATTATTATTTACTCAAAAAACGTATGATTTACAGTTTGAGACATTTAATGTGTTTTCGGATAAATTCACTTTACAATTCCAAATTTACCAACATGATGTCTAGCATGTCCAAAGTTTTATTTATAGATCTATGTCAACTTATTGAAACACGAAAAATATATATCACAATTTAAGACATACGATCGTATGTCTTGGAAGGTTAATAGGAAACACGTTCGAACGTGCTTCCTATTAACCTTTTATTAAATTTCACTAAAATTCAACTAAAATTTCGTGAAATTATTTTAAAGTACTTTTTCATAAGTTTTAACTTAAAATATTAATTCGAAATTTTTCTAATATAACAATATTAATGAACAAATATACCACACTTCTACCTTTTGACATACTAGTGAACCAATATATCGCATATCTACTTCAGTTATATTCTTCAAGAGACTCCAAGAACATTGAATTCGAAAATCTATTTTGCAGATCGATAACTTCCATTCTATATAGCTGTATTCCTTAGTACGATCCCTTCCAAGGGATCAAATGTGTGGGACAGTGGGTTAACGTCTTAGATAAATTACTATTATGCTTATAAATGTTATAAACAATATAATTCACTGTTATGATTGTAAATGTTTCCAAATATCAGCTGTTAATAAATATTGCAATAAAATGCAAACCTTTTGAATATTGCTCTCCATGCAGAGGTTGAATTTTTTATTTATAAACATCAATATTGTTGTTATATATTTTTCAGTGATTTAATATCAATATACTCGTGCGATGCGTTTGCTGAATCAGTGATAAAAAAGGAAATAACAATCTGTTGTTGCTTGAATAATAATCTTTGGCTGAAGCCAATTGCCATTTCAGTAGACAGTCCTCTCTCTTTCTCTTTCAAATATATACATTTTCCTGATTTCCTTGTAAGTCTAATTTAGTAAAGCTTCCAAATGAAAAAAAAAAAAGGCTAACTTTGATTTTCTCCTTAAAAATACATAAAATTAATTAAATTGCTAATAGAAAATTCCTTTATTTGCCAGAATATTTTAATTCTGATTATTTAAGTAATGTTATATCTTGGCATACATAAGTATTCAATTTAGAAATTAAAAACAATTACCAAACAAATATCCAGTTTATAAAAATCGAAAATTGTTATAAAAAACCAGAATGCAAAATTGCTTTCACAAATTTCTACAATTGTGCAAATTATTTTACTTTTTATGTTTATTATTATATTTTCTGTTTTGAGCTTTTAAATTTTGAAGGTTCAGATTCGTGAAAGAATATGTGCAGAATTGAGAAAAAAATTATTTTTATTTGCAAAAATCAACATCTTATTACTTCAAAAAGAAAAATATTTTCTAATTTATATTGATATATTTTTGTTGATGGATTAACTTACTACTAGTTACTATAATTCAGTTACTACAATTTCAGTTATTCGGTTACTACAATTTCAGTTATTCAGTTACTAAAATTTCATTTATTCAGATATTACAATTTCGAAAGTAATTAATTTTTTTTTTTTTTTTTTTTTTACGAATTAACATTTAGTTTGTTTTATAACAGAATAATTTTAGATGAAGAATTTTAGGTAAAAGCAACATAGTTGCTCCTTTTAACTTTAAGATAAAGATAATTGGGCCTTTTATTGGTGAAGCATTGCCACGATCTTTAAATACAATCAAATTCTGTTTAGTTCAGTCACGACTTGTTAAATACTGTAATGTTAGCTTTTGTTAAAGCTTCTGTAATTGGCAAACGTAATGATTAATTTACTTTTGCATTTGATTAAAGTAGTTTTTCAGCTGTTTAGGAGAAAATTAATGGAGTAATTAAAGTATTGAACGAAGGGAAAACTCGTTGAAATATTTACATCTCTTTCATATCTCTTTCAATGAAAGAGATGATTGACGATTGGTAAAAATATTATTTCAGTACTTTACAATTATGCTTAACAAAATTTTAGCAAATGCAAATCGAAATTGAGACTTCCATAAAATTTTAGCCGAAATCACAGAAATTCACGTGCTTTTAAAGAAAGGCAAATTTAATTTTATAAAAATTACAAATTTGTAAAGTATGGAGGAGGAAATTTCAGTATTTCAAGGAGCATTTCATTTCAATGCATTGGAACACTTAGAAACGAGATTTAAAAGAGTATTTTTTTAAAGAGAGAGAGGTAATATTAAAAAAAACCAGCAATAGCACATAAAATAAAATAAATATTTAGTAGCACTTAACGCGCGTCTAACGTTAGTTCTAAAAATTCGCACTTAACACTTGCTTAGAAAAATTTATAGCACGGTTCGATAGATGTCGCCACTCTAGTAATCGATAAATGTTAAATTGTATTGCAGGTATTTCTTGTGGCAGCTAGAAAATTCACTGGGAAAAAGTTAATATTATTGGTAATGCAAACACCTCGCCAATTTCTACTTCTGTACGCCATAATCATCGAAACATACATGTTGATTTCGTTCAGCCATATTTGAGCTTTTCACTTTAAATAATATTGTCTGGGGAAGACACAATAACACGCCGAATAAATACTAATTCAGAAGTCAAACAACAAAAATCAGCGTTAATTTACAAAATTTTCACAGGACTAGTTTCAATGGTTTTACCGAACCATCATCTTCAGCTGCAAAACCGCAAATGAACAAGATAGGAAATAATGTTTAGATAAGATAAGAAAGCCTGGACAAGAATAAGCAAGTGGCGCCATCTGTTGGCGAAACCAGAACTAAAACATAATTTCTCTAAAAGCCGAAGGCAAAGATGGATTGGAATTAGGATCGTTAACTAGAACAGAAAGATTTTTTATGAATGTGGAAATGCCTCTAGAAAGTAGAAAAAATCCAGTTCTCCAATGGAAGATGTTTTTTGAATAATTTTGGCAGCAGAAAAATTGAAAGTGTGATTTTCGGACCAACAATGTTGAGCAACACAGACAAGACTTCTGTGTTTCTAACTTGTTTTCTTAACATATGTCCTCATGTTCCTTGACGCGAAATTTTAAGGCTCTCTTAGTTTGGCCAATGTAAATTAAACCGCAATGGCAAGGAATCCTATTAAATACACCCCAGGAATTCATATCCGGAATGGGGTCCTTGAGTATGAGAAGTTGGAATTTTATTGATGGGAGAGTAAACAACCCGAAAGTTAAATTTCTGCAAAATATGTGCAACTTTATAGCTAATTGATGGAAAAGAAGGGAATGACAACAGAATTTTTATAATCTCCTAAAATAAGAGTGTGGCTTTTAGTGTGTTGAGATGAGAATTTTTTAACTGCTTGATTAATAATGTTGGGTGAAAAGCCCCTGTCAATAGCTATTGCTTTTAAATAATTTAGTTCTTCATCAAGGGCTAGTTTGGAGGAGCAAACTTGAAGAGCACGGAAAACATAGGATCAAAATGAAGCTAACTTTTGTTTAGTCGGATGACATGATTTAAAGTGTGGTGGAAGGCAAACCGATGAAGGTTTACGGTAAACTGTAGTACTGAAGTTGGATGTGTTACGTGTGACCAGAATGTCGAGAAACGAGAACGGAAGAGAATTGCAAGTCTCAAGTTCAAAAGTGAACTGAATAGCAGGATCAATAGAATTCATTGTTGAAAGAACTCTATTTAAATCATCTTTATTACCTTCAAACAGGGTAAAAGTATCGTCTACGTAGCGGAACCATGCCGGGAAGTTTAAAGTTTCAAACAATTTTGATTCATAATAATGCATGTAGATATCAGCCAGGATGGGACTGAGGGGGCTTCCCATGGCTAATCCCTCAGTTTGCTTGTAATATTTATTTTGGAAAACAAAATGTGTTTGTTGTTTCAAACAGAGTTGAGTGAGAGAAATTAGCTCATCAATTTCGATGCAAGAGAAATGAAATTCGCGAAGTCTGGTTTCTAGACATCTTAATGCACCCTCCACTGGGACATTGGTGAATAATGATTTTACATCAAAAGAAACCATGAGTAAATTACGAGGAGAAATGTTTTTAACCTTTTTTACAAACTCTATTGAATTTTTTATGGTGTAAATGTTATTGTCTAATAGAGTGGAAAATCTAGAAACTAAATATTTAGCTAATGGATACGAGGCAGTACCTAAATTTGATACAATAGGGCGGAAAGGAATACCACTTTTATGAATTTTGGGAAGAGCATATAATCTGGCACAATTCGCAACAGATGGGATAAGCGAATGTTTTAAGTTGCTTGAAATGATTTGCGAAGATTTGATCGCAGTTTTTATTTTGGATAAGTCCGAAGGTGAAGGATCTTTAGGGATCGGATTATATGGTCCTTCGTTTAAGAGTTTAGTGACACCATCGATGTAAGTGTTCTTATCCATGACGACTATCTGGCCACCTTTGTCGGCCTTTGAAATGACAATATCCGGGTTAGAATGAATCTCGCGCATTGTAGCTCTTTCTCTCGCAGTTAGATTTGGTTTCAAAGGTTTATTATTGAATTTCACATTATGAGCGATAAGATGCCTAATCATTTCTTTCTGTGAATCTGAAACTTTACTGAACTTGAAAGCTTTTTCGATAGGAGCCAAAATCTTTGGAATCGAGGGTTTACAGGTTTGTGAGAAGTTAAAATTATATTTAGAATTCTCTCTTGTTCTTCTGAAAGACTAACATTAGAAATATTAACTATTGGCTTGATGTTTACAATGGGAAGATTTTTTGAACTAATTGGACTGGAAGACTGTAAAAGAAGTTTTTCGAATTTAACTGCAAGCCTGTTTTTATGACGGTTAACTGCATTCTCCGTTCTAGAACAAGACTTTTGTTCAAGGGCAGTGAATTTTGGATATGTTTTAGCGAGTTCCAGATGAAGCTTATAGAGTTCATGTTCAATTTTGGACAATTGTTGACGTGTATCCCTTATCACGGACCGAAGTAAGGCAAGTTGGCAATTTAACAGAATTCTTGAAACGCG